TTAATGTTATTTAAATAATTAAATTTCAGAATTTTATGTAATTTGGTTATGTTATTTAAATGTTTCATGGTTGTTACATACATATTTTTTAATGTTTTTTATTCACATTTAACATTAAATGTTTGATAAATGTTTTTAAAATACAAATTATATTATTCGAAATTTAAAATAAAAATAAAAATAATATTATTCAAATTTAAATTTAAAATATAAATTATAGTATTCGAAATTTAACATTAAATTTTAACTTAATATTCCAATTGTATTCGAAATTAAAAGTTATATTCCAATTATAGTTCACAATACTTAAATTGAAATTAAATTTATCCATACATATGATTTTATCATTAACATATATATTAAAACGTATACATTAAAATCAACTTATGTTGAGTTCATCGATCGACGGAATCAACCAAGAGGGGGGTGAATTGGCAATTTATTCAATGTCACATTTCAATGCTCATTCCATACAATTTCAATGTCACAATCACTTATCACTTCACATTTATTCAATTTATCAATAACATTTTATCTAATTTATTCAAACTTCACATAACGTTTTAATTTAAGTTATTCTTAACTTGTTGAACATTCAAAAGAAGTTAAATTTAAGTTATTCCCCGAGGGACATGAGTGACATAATAGGGCAATGATAATATTCTCTGACGAAATAATAGAAGGCGCGCCCCCGGGAACGCGCCTTCACGTGAATAGTGAAATAATAGGTACTGATATATCTAGTGTCCCCGAGGGACATGAATGACATAATAGGGCAATGATAATATTCTCTGACGAAATAATGGAAGGCGCGCCCTCGGAACGCGCCTTCACGTGAATAGTGAAATAATAGGTACTGATATATCTAGTGTCCCCGAGGGACATGAATGACATAATAGGGCAATGATAATATTCTCTGACGAAATAATGGAAGGCGCGCCCCCGGGAACGCGCCTTCACGTGAATAGTGAAATAATAGGTACTGATATATCTAGTGTCCCCGAGGGACATGAATGACATAATAGGGCAATGATAATATTCTCTGACGAAATAATGGAAGGCGCGCCCCCGGGAACGCGCCTTCACGTGAATAGTGAAAAATAGGTACTGATATATCTAGTGTCCCCGAGGGACATGAATGACATAATAGGGCAATGATAATATTCTCTGACGAAATAATGGAAGGCGCGCCCCGGGAACGCGCCTTCATGTGAATAGTGAACCGATTATAGAAACTATTATATGCAACGTATTATAAACTTTCAAAACAAACTTCAGTTCACAATCTTTCAAATTCTCAAATTCCCAAACTCTAAATTCTCAAATTCTCTGAAAATGAGTCGTCTTTCTGCTGTTGTTTTGTATGATGGAGAAATTAAGGAAGCTGAAGAGGGGGTTGTTTTTGAGTCAGATCATTATATCCCCTTAACCTTGAAGAGAAACATCACAATTGAGGAGTTAATCAAAAAATTTCGTTAAAGATTCGTGTAGCAGGCCAGAGAAGACTATCTTCACTTCAATACAGATTTCCTACTGAACTTTTTCCGCTCACGTATACATCATTTCAGCTTTCAAACGATGATGATGTTTCTATGATGGTTGATGCTCATATGGGGAGTTCACAATCTCTTATTGAAATGTATGCCACTTTTATTGAGGTTCGTGTAACTCGTGGTCTCTCATATTCCTCTCACTTTGGCATTGCATATCAAACTGATCAAGTTGATAGCCCGACACAACTTATCTGTAATGATTTCACATCATTAATGGCGGATCCAACGCCATATACCATGCCATCAAGTTCAATAGGAAGGCATTCATCTGCAACTGCTTATGATCTCAACCCACGTGGCTTCACCAATAATCCATATGGCAACATCTCTTCTACTTCAAGGGGCAAACATTCATCTGCCAATGTTTTCGACTTACATATGGAAATGCCATCGAGACGACAGTCTATTCACATCCCACATGATACAATGGCCTCAAGTTCAAGGGGAGGACACGCAAGCGGGAACTTATTTGACCTCAACATTGGATTATCGGAGGAACCCTCATCTCCACCAGAAGAACCTCTTCGGGAGCCAGGTGCAGATGGTGCTGAAACGGGATTATTCGTTGAACCTGACTCACCACAGTTTAACGTACATTCTGATGATGACGAGGATGACGTTCCGATAAATACAACACCAGCCGAACTTCCTGCACATATGTATGAGGCTGATTACGATGCAATGTATGAGCCTGAATTTCCAGATCTTCCTGATGTTGGCAACTATGGACTTCAATCATCAGTCAATGACGGTAATTTACATATTGGAATGGAGTTCGCATCGAAGGAGGAAGCAATGATGGCAATAAAGAGTTACAATATTCGTAACTCAGTTCAGTCCCGAGTTGATCGATCTAACACGGAGAAATATGTCTGCTACTGCGTCCAACGTCACAACGGATGTCAATGGATGGTCCGTGTATCAAAGAGGAAGAGGAAGAACAACTTATGGGAACTAACCAGATACAACGGTCCTCATACATGTTGTGAAACAGGTATAAACCAGGATCATCCCAACTTGGACTCCAACATTATTTGTCAAGCAATCATGCCCATTGTGAAGCAAAGCTCTCATATAGCTGTTGCAGTGTTGATTTCTGCTATACAGTCACAATATGGGTACACTGTCTCATATAAAAAAGCGTGGTTGGCAAAACAGAATGCCATTTGCAAACTTCATGGCGAATGGGATTCCTCTTACAACGAGCTGCCCAGTTGGTTTCATGTTGTGCAAAGACTTAATCCCGGGACAATTGTTGAGTTCGAAACTCAACATCATTACGTGAATGATCGAATGGTTCGCGATCGCTGCCAATTTTACCGAGTCTTTTGGACTTACCCTCAGTGTATTAATGCAGTCAAGTACTGTAAACCAATTGTCCAAATTGATGGTACTTTCTTGTATGGGAAATACAAGCAAGTTTTATTATTGGCTGTGGTCCAAGATGGAAACCGCAATATTCTTCTTGTTGCGTTTGCCCTCGTTCAAGGAGAAGACACTGAGTCTTGGGCTTTTTTCCTTAAAAATTTACGTTTACATGTTGTCACCAGGGAACGACTATGCATTATTTCAGACCGAGGAGCCGGGATAAAAGCAGCAATGGACTCTTTGGGTACAATGTATAGACCTCCACATGTTCAACATCGTTATTGTGTCCGTCATATTGCTGCAAACTATTACGGAAAATACAAGAAGAACGATGAACGTCAGTTAGTCGTGCGGATGGGTATGTTACTTTTTCCCAATTTTCTATCAATTTCTTATTACTTATTTATACTTCATATTAACTATTACATATTCCTAATGGCTTAGGTTACGAACTCTTACCTCAAAGGTTTGAGTCGATGCTACAAGAGCTGTTTGGCAAAAATAAGAAGGGGTGCGAGTACATTATGGACATCAGCAAAGAAATGTGGACAAATGCATATGACGGGGGGTATCGCTATGGTCATATGACAACAAACTTGGCTGAAGCAATAAATTCAACCTTAAAGGGGGCGCGTCATTTACCAGTCACGGCGTTGGTCAAAACGACTTATTTTCGTTTGGGTCAACTCTTTGCAAAACTCGGTGGACAAGCTCTTACTTGGATGCAAAACGGACATATTTACCACCCAAGACTAGTAGCCGATTTACAGAAAAAGTGGCTACATCAAATGGGATGTTAGTTACAAATTTTTCTCGCACCCGTGAATTGTTTCGTGTAACCGAAATGCCACGTCCGCTGCAAGGGATTGAAGCTAACTCTTTCAGAGTTAATCTGCAAGAGAGGTGGTGCGATTGTGGTTTCTTTCAAGCACTCAAATATCCATGCTCTCATGTCATTGCTGCTTGCTCACATTCGCATTTGGACTACAAAATTATGTTGATCCCGTATACCAACTTTCACAAGTTTTCAAGGTATATGAATTTGAGTTTCCGCCCATAGGAAACGAAAGAGACCCAAATGAGATTCAAACTTGACTTACAATTGTACCAGATCCATTGCTATTGAGGGACTCAGGTCGTCCAAAATCTACTAGAATACATTGTGATATGGATATTCGGGAGAAGTCAACAGAACAAAACGATGTGGGCATTGTAGAAACATCGGGCACAATAGAAAAAAATGTCCAGCTCTGTTATCATCATATAACCGTTAACTCTTATGTAATTAAAGTTTTTAAATGAATGTTTTTATTTCTAATAATTTAATGTTATTGCATTTATATAATTTGTCAATGTATGTACACCTAAATAAATTTTTTTAACTTTTAAATACATAAATATATTTAATATAATTATTTAATATAATATTTAATATTATTAGTTATAATTTTTTCGTTATAACTTTTAAATTTATTAAATTAAATTTTCAATAAGACTAATTTTATAAAATATGTAAGTCTTGAAGATTAAATATGTAATCATACTAATTTATTAACTTATGCATCAATATTTTCGTTAAATATTGACTAGATTGATAACATTTAAATAATTAACTGATAAAATTAATAGATCGATAATCAAAATCAAAAATACTCGAAACTTGATAATTCTTACATTATAATCGAAACATTTTACATAATATATTATTAATTTATAATAATAATAAAATAAACTATTTATTATAAACAAAATACGTCTGCTGAGTTGGCAAAGGCGCGTCCCCGGGGACGCGCCTTTCACACGTGGCATCCAACTCAGCGAAAAACACGGGTAAAGCGCGCCCCCGGGGACGCGCCTTTGCCAACTCAGCAGAAAGGGTGCTAGTTCTGGAAATATTGATCAAACGGTGTCAGAAAAGTAAAATTAAAATCAAACGGTGTCAGTTATGTAAAAACCCCAATTACTTGGTCTTGTCAAGTTCATAATTTAAAAAATAATGAACCGAAAATTTAGTTTGATTAATTAATTTATTGAATTAATTTAAAATTCGAATTTAATATATTTATATTTTTTTATACTCGAATTTCTTCATTCGGACAGGAAAAAAAATGCATCCAATACGGAGGAAAAAATGCAAAATAAACATCCAGTGGCATAGATAGAGACCAACAAAACAACATAAATAATACAATGTCCAAAATTTAAGCAACTTAGTTCAAAAGTTGCTTTATCTTTTACACTCTTCTGAGCACAAGGGATTCCATGCCATTTTGAGAAGACAAAAACTCTTCCTCGAGTCGAAGGAGCGAGCCCTCTTTCCGGTTTCCATTTATATATATGACGATTTTAATGGACGGTAGAAAACTACGGTAACAGAGACACAAAACGACAGAAGACAGCTTCTTTCAGGGATGGTAAGAATGTACATTACTTTCTGAGAAGCTTCTGGGAGAGAATCCTCTTCGAATACGGGCTGTTGCGCGATAGTGCTTTATGGGACTCGATTGCTTCGACGAGCGAATTGTGCAGAGCTCCCTAACATAAGTGGGAAGAAAAGAAGACAAGTCAGATACATTTTGTGGTTAGTAAGAGGTTTAGAGTAACATGCAATAAAAGAGGATCTCAAACAAAACAATTTGGTTCAAAAACAAGGTCTTCTAAGTTCATCTTCAAGTAGGAGCATAAAATTTTGACCTTATCCGTCACGGTAATCATATAATCCCTGATTCCTAATTCTGTCAACTATATTTTCACGTATTATCTAACATAAAATATCGATGATTCCAATACTGATGCATACGAATGTTATAACGGATCATACAAGCCAGAAACAAAGATGAGTTTTAACTGGCAGATTGGAGTTTTTGTATATAATTAGAGAAGTTATTGGCTCTCAAACCTCAGACACACGGAGTGCAGTTTGCACAACATAATTTGCATGTGGATCTTGAAGCAATCGTTCAAAGTGAGTTGTAGAGAGCAATTCGTTAATGATTTTCGATCGGCTCTCGTCATTTAACACCACGAGACATTTTTCAACCACATGACTGCTGAACTTCTGCGATGAGAGGTGCCCGTAATTCCCTTCGAATTGAGAAATCAGAGTCAAAGTGGCAGATGGAATTTTTATCTCCAAAATAAACTGAACAACATAATTTCTGCAAAATCAAAAACAGGAATCCATGGTTAAAAGAAGTGCATGAAAGGGACAGCATGTATCACAAACTTGAATTCGTGGGCACCCGCGAATATCGAATTCAGAACCAACTAGCAAGTCTCATAACAACAAAGAAAAAGCTTAAAACATTAACGGACCAACTAAGGACAAAAAAGTTGGTTTCCGACAACAATACAAGGACAACACCGATATGATGACTAATTCAGCATGGCACCATACGAGTCAATGACACAAAACAAGCCATTAATTCACTTTCCGAAACAAATCTTTTCCACCACCACTTATTAGTATCACAGAAGGGCCAAATACAGAAGATCCAACACAATCAAATATGCAAAGAGTTTCGGCTTACCGCACCTTTTCTGCATCATCAGTCAACCAGAAAGTTTGGTTATTCAGTAAACCAGAAACTCTTAATTGCATACACAACTATATATATCAGCTTATGTAAGTTGAGTTTCCTCTAACTAGAAATTGATGCTTACCCATACGCGTCTTGTGCAAGTAGGAGCCCATTGGTGGATATTTGTTCAACCAGTTTTTCCCAATATTCCCCAGAGGAATGACTAATGCATCGTTGCAAAACGCAACAGCCGTGTTGATGAGTTGCAATATCAACACAATACTTCGCAGCAGCAACAAAAATAAACTGTCAAAATGATCGGATTCCATTATTTTCCATCGAGTTACAATTACCGAGACACATGCAAAGTGATGCATTGCCTCTAAGAATAAGCAAAAGGGAGGTTCAATCTAAGGCTCAGCTCGGCATTGTCTGTAACTTATACAAGATATCACACTTCACTATGAGTTAATGAACAAAAACAGAATGGCATAGAAAAGATCCAACATTAACACCTAGAAAGGTGGAAGGCTTACCTTTGTTATCTTCACAGCTAAGGCATTGCAAGCAACGCTGCACAACATGATTCCCATTCAGGTCCTTAATGAGAGATAAGAAACCAGGTTCAAGAGATGATATAATCAGTGAAATTTGCTGCCTGGTCTTCAGAGTCTCGATCAACTTTTGCACTACACGGGTGCTGAAACAAGGAAAACAATGTTAGAAATGTAACAGCAAATGAAAATGTACATTTGCAATGTTTCGGACATACCCGTGTGTGTTTAGAGATATTTTAACTAGCTGCCCTGGTTCCTCTGTAGCCATTAACAAAATCTGCATTCTCTGTTCTTCATTGCACACTTCCAATAACTTCTGCATAAGATAATTCCCAAATGGGTTCATCATCAGTTCAACTACATGATCAATGATCTCCTTAAATATTATTTCGACATCCTCTAGGGTACCCTCATCGAATAGCAGCTGTAAGAACCTACAACCATGTTGATCTTTTGCCATTAAGTATATATATCCACGAGCTTCGGCCAAAGAGTTACACTTAGCCGGCAAAGAGAATGAGTTATATAACTTAGCATTCTTAGCATTTCCACTAGCTGCAGCAAAGTGAGACCAATTATCAAGTTGCAACCTTCCTTCTCGATGCTTACTTGCACCAATCTCCTGCCCCTTGTTGATTACAAAATTTAAACCATCACCTTGAATAATGAAACTACTCTCATTTGGGATTCCAACATTTGAATGGGATCTAGACAAACCATTGGATAATGGAAGCCCCCAATTTAACAGGCTTCCAATGCTCAGATTACGGTTCGCTTGAACAAACCAGGGAGAAGCATGAAAATTCAGCTTACCTCTTCCATCATTCCCATTCATACTGTTTCTTTGACCATAGATTAAAGCATCATTCATCAGAAGATCATTCAGAGAATTCCCTCTCTGATAATAGTTACAAGCTAGCTCTTTTTTCTGCCATGGAGACCTCATTGTACCATTCAAATTATTCATTCCCCTAGGCGAACCCAAAGCATCCTGGCGACCAAGATACATTTGGGGATATTCCTGCTGTGGAAATCCAGAAAATGCCATATTCCTCCCACCATTGACACTTGATGGAACACTCATAGAAACAGGGGATTGAAGACCCACAAAATCAGCAAACCCTTTCCTAAGTTCATCACAAGCCCCATGTTTTCGAATCCCATTGGGCTCAAGTGAAAAATCTCTAAAACTAGAACCGAAATTCTCTTGATCATTGCTAATATACATTTTACTACGAGTCCTGCAAAGATCCAGTTCACCAAACAAGCAATCAATACTGGCCTTTTGCCTAATAGTTGAATCCATAAACAATCCATTTGACAAGTGTGGCTTAAGGTCATCTAATGGCGGTGGAGGTGGTGATCCATTAGACAAACTCGAAGAAGAGCCATCTGACAGTAAAGAGAAACCGCTTCCAGGGGAAGCATGTGTATGGTTATGGAAATAGCTTGATGGGTCATCATCATACACAAGACCATACATACCATTAAATGACTCATTTTGATGATGATGTGATGTTGCATGAGGGATCTCATCTAATATCGTTTCAAACTCATCATCATCATCCATGTTTCCTCTCTTCTTCTTCTCGGCGGTGGATTCCAACATCAGAAAGACAGACAAAAAGGAAAAACAAACAGAACCAGAAACCAAACCAAAACAAAACAAATAGACAAAACAACAACAACAACAGCCACAAGAAGAAACAATCAAAAGAAGAACATCAGATGTGAAACAACAAATACCCAGAATAGATTACCGCTTTTTATCATCTGTGTTTTGCTCAGATTATGAAACCAACCAGAAAAGGAACAATATTTTTACCCTTTCGTTCTTTTTCCAAATGGCATTTCAACTATAACAGAATAAATCCATTTTCTGGGTTTTGGGTTTTCTTTTGTGAATAATTTGGTGAGACATGCAAAGATTGAAGGAAGATCACATATGGTTACTTTTAAGAACCGTATGAAATATTACATACACATATACTCTCTCGCTTTGTGTACGCTCTCACGCCATTAAAGTTGGGCTAGTGAAGAACAAACGCTATTTATATTTTGCTCCCACACACCTCAACAAAATTAAGATAACATTAATAAAATAATACTAATATTAAAATATTTGTTTATAAATTTGTAATCTTTAGCTATCTTCTTCAAGCATTTTCTTTTCACTCGGGACCACTACAACTTAAATGAGCAATACACTCTTATTCCTCTACGTGAATTGCACGCTTTATGAGCTTTTCATTTTGCTAATGGCAAATTGAGAATTTGATTCCTGAACCTTCGGGACTTGTGATCCACCCACTTCAGATAGCGCGTGGTAAATAAGAACTATTTACTATTGTTAATTAATAGTAATTGAATATTATGCGTGCATGATATTTATCACTATTTATTAATTAATTAATTTTTGAATTTTCCTTTTAAATTTAGTTGTGATAAAATTTAATGTTTCTTATCAATTCATATACCATATATAACTTTATGAATTTGATTTTTTATGTTAATTTAATTAGTTTTTTTAAAAAATTAAAATTTCAATAATAATCCTAATAATAATCTTTAAATTTTTAAAATTAAATTATACTATTAATTATAGTATTTTATATAAATTATTAATTTAGTTTCTTAATTTTAAATAATACGTAATATAACTTTGATTAAAATAGAATATAATGACTAAATTTGTAATTTATAATAATATAGGGATTAATGATAGAATTTGACCTCATCTGCCCCTCACGTCTCTCTTTTCCTAATTTTGAGGTTTTAAATTAGATTTCAGTTTCCAATCTCTTTAAACTGGTAGGTTAGGCAAAATTTAATCAATCCTTACTTAACTACAGAATGAATATAATTAATTAATTAATTAATTCTGCCTTTTATCTAGGACTGAAGATAACGTGCAAAATGTTATTCAATTATCATTTGGAAAACTTATTTATTATATTTGATATTAATTTAATTGGTATTGTTAATATTCATGTTATAATAATTTTGAGTGTGCCTTAAATATATAATTACTTTCCTAGTTTAAAGTTTGAAAGGTTATGGGTTTAAATTAGATACAGGTCAAGAGAATTGATAGCCACCTTATTAGGGATGATTTTGGGCTGGGTTTTAGGTTAACCCGACCCAACCGAGAAGCATATATTTTTATTTAAAATTTAATTTGATATAAATATAAAAAAAGTATTTTTATTCCATATATTAGATATTTAATTAGAAAAATATTGAAAGAGTGCTATAGTAATTATCATTAAATGTATAGAGAAAAATTATATTATTATTTAATATCAAGTCGGGTTAGGAATTTTTTTCCTTAAATATGGATTTGAATTCAATTTTTTTTAAAAAATATGATACTATAGAAATGAGTGGGGTCAGAATCCGTTGGTTTAACATTCATAGACCTTACGCTTTTTTAACAAATTCTAAATCTAATCATAATCCTACCAAGTGGGGAGGGGAATAAGGGACTTTAAAGAAAGCAAAGGAAGTGTTCTTAGTAGGTCTAATGACCTAAGGGAATATGAGATAACAAAGATAAGCAGCTTGACCAATCGGCCAATAATAGTTGCTCTATACCTAAACCTAACGCTTTTATGTGATAAATTTAGGTTTTAATCTATTTAGATTGGATAAACTATGTATTTAGTCACACAGCTATTTTTATAAATATATTTTGATAACATAATTATTTTTTCCCTCAAAATCATACTTGAATTTAAATTTTGTTCCATTGTGGTCATCCTCCATTAAAAAAATGGTGAATTGATGTATCACCATAAGATAATGACACATCATTATTAAAAAAACAAAAATATCACATCAATTATTTTATTTGTTTTTTTAACGATAAGTGATCAAAACGAAATAAAAACATGAATTTAAGTATAATTTTAAAAAATGAGTGCCAAAACGAAATCACATGTATAATTAATTGATTAAATAAGTAGTTTACCCATTTAGATTTTATAAAATTCTAAATTAATATATGGATAAAAATATAATTTAATAATTCAAAAACTTAAAATTTACGTTTAATCCATTTAAAATTTAGACTAATCAAAATCCGAATCCGTCCCATCCCCGTCCTTAATCATTACATCCTAGAAATGTTGTTCCGAGAAAAATGAGTTCGAATTGCATCCCAAATCCAGTCGAAGGGCATATAAGCCGGCCCAATGCTTCACCTCAAAGGCTTTCACATAACATTTTCGCTAGACAACTTGGTGGACTTTCGTTATGAAACCATCCTTGACATGGTCGGATTATGCCACTGATGATGTCAATCAACACAGATTCTCTCTGTTTCTGTACCAACTGCATTTTCCATTTGATGATTCAACATACCTCACTTGTCAACACTAAACATTAAGGATAAAATATGGATGTCACGTCTAGTTGACTTGCAAACTCATTTTCTCTTATGAAAAAGGTCAGACACCTTGAGTGCAAAATAAATTGGTTAAAAGTTTATTTAGGCTCTCAAAAGAGTAGCCGAGTGGAATGCAAGCCTCTTTTCTTCAATGACCTTCGATTTCATTTTTACTTCCTTTTTCTCCCTTAATGAAAGCCTTAACAATGTCTCCATTTGATTTCTTTTCACGTCTTCGTCAATTTTTATGTCGATACCAAATCTTTTGAGATATTAGGTTGTCTTATTTCCTAAAAATTTTAAATTGATATATAATTTATGTATTTTTTATATTTTATTGATAATTTAATTTTACATAATTAATTATCCATAAAATTTTAATACAACTTCCTAAATTTTAAATTGATATATAATTTATATAAAATTATACGTTCATTTCTATTTATAATTCAACAGATTTATTATTGAGTGCAATTTTTATATTATAAAATCGTAAAGATGTTTTGTATGCGTGTTTGTGAGCATTGATAGTGAGTACCTAAAATTTATGGAGATTGGTCGGATAAATCGTGTTATATTGTACGTGCATATAAGACACACAGAGCTCATATGTGTTTGTGAGCACAGAAGTCGTGATGCTCTATACACACATTGAAGATACATAATTTATTGCAGCAAACTTACTTTTATTAACTTTTTAACCTAACAGCTAAATTGAACCAATTTATTATTAATAAGAGTTAAAATATATTTGAAATACCTACAATACCCTTATTAACTCTTACCGATTATATTATATTATATATATATATAACAAGCACGAACCAAATTATTTTAGTGATTAAAAAGATTATTATAACATCTAGATGTCCCGAGTTCGAGCATATCATCTGCAAGAGTGTTTATTGTCAAATAATTAAGAATAATTTGATAAATATTACTTTGTAATCACCTCAAACTAGGAAAAAAAAAACAAATGCATCTAACCCTATTTATTCTATTAACTTTTTTGGCAACCTAACAATTGAACTGAACCTAATTATTCTTATTAAGAGTTAAAAGTATATTTGAAATGCCTATAATACACATATTAACCCTTAGTGACTCTATTACGTAGATATACCAAACCCTTTGAACCCTATTTATTCTAATAACTTCTTTTAGCCTAACAATTAACTTGTAAAATTTGAAGTCAACATATATATATTTTTTCTTATTTAAGACTTAAAAATATATTTAAAATACCTATAATGACCATAATGAAGAGTTAAATTCAACATATTTATTCTTATTAACGTCATGATCTATACTAAAGATAGTTATCTTAGGTTTTAATTTTTAAGGATTGTTTTTTACAAATAAGAAACATAAGATTTCATATGTTGAAGTTTGAAAAATTATCATGTGATTAGATTTAGACGAAGTTGGATGTAATTATACATGTATGACATATTTAATCGATTATTATAATTTATGGTTCATTGAATTGTGTGTAATTAAAATATCTTATTATTGTTCCTAATTATAATGAGATGATAAAAATTGATTTAATTTATACAAATAATTATACTTTTTTAATATTTATTATTATTAGGTGATTTGTAAAATAAAACCATAATATTAAAACATCAATTTTTTATATCATGAATTTATTATATTTGCATATAACGTACTGTAATATTTTCGATAAGATACGCTCATAATAATCTTAATAAATTTTAGAATGTTAACTTTTTTTCTAATCATATTTTCAATGAAATTATTATTTTGTTGAGGAAAAATCTTATAATATTTTTATAATAAAAAGTGATTTTTCGTCAACTCTTTGTATATGCATACATACATATTGCGTATTAAGATACTTTTATAATGAGAATAATAATTTTTTTAATATAATTATGAATTTTTTATATATAATGTATTATAATAATATTAACATATATTATAGCACACAATTATGTTTATCATTTGAAAAAGGTTTATTATTTAATATAATTAATAGAAAAAATAATTTCAAGTTTTATAAAAAAAGTGTTTATTTAAAGAAATTTAAAATTTTAAAAATAAATAATAGGATAGTTGATATGATCTAAATATTGTACACCGATAACGTATAAGATAATAATCCTTAAAAAACTACTTACCATAATACATATATTTTCATTTTCCTATAAATAGAGATAATTCATTTTCATTCAGCTTCGTCACTTACAAAACCATATCAATATACACATATATACGAAGTTTCCAGAGAAAAATGGTATCCAAGATGCATGCTGTATGCATCCCATTCCCAGCTCAAGGGCATGTAACCCCAATGCTTCAGCTTGCAAAACTTCTTCACCACAAAGGCCTTCACATAACATTCGTCAACACCGAGTACAACCATAAGCGTCTTCTCCGATCCCGAGGTCCCGAATCGCTCGGCGGTGTGCCGGACTTTCGCTTCGAAACCATCCCCGATGGCCTCCCGCCGTCTGATGATGATAATGTCACCCAAGACGTTTTCTCTTTGTTGGATTCCTTCTCGACCAATGGCTTGGAACCGTTTCGTCGTCTTCTTCGCAAGCTCAACGACAGCGCCGATGCGCCCCGCGTAACCTGCATTGTTGCGGATTTTCACTTGTCGTTCTCCACAGAAGCAGCTCAAGAGGTTGGGGTCCCTTGCGTAACTTTATGGACGGCCAGCATTGCGTCATTGGTTTGCTACGCTCACATCCCACTTCTGTTTGAAGAAGGGTTAACCCCAGTCTCAAGTGGTTTAACTAAGGAATATCTTGATTCTGTGATAGAATGGATGCCTGGAATGAAAGATATACGTTTCAGGGATTTTCCAAGTTACGTTAGAACTACGGACCGAAACGATGCGATGCTCAATTTTATCCTCAATCAACCATCCTACGACTTCAAATTTTCGGCTGTGATTTTCAACACATTCGAGTCGTTGGAGAAAGACGCTTTGGATTTTGTGTCTTCACTCATCGATCCTCTTCCCGTTTACGGCATCGGTCCTCTTCATTTACTTGTCGATGAGATCAAAGATGATAAACTAAAACATATTGATTCTAATATGTGGGCTGAACAATCCGAATGTCTCGAATGGCTTGATTCTAAACAACCCGAATCGGTAATCTACGTAAATTTCGGGAGTATTGCCGTAATGAGTCCTCAACAAATGATCGAATTCGCTTGGGGTCTAGCTGATAGCAAACAACCCTTTTTGTGGATCGTCAGACCCGATCTCGTTAAGGGTAAGGCGGCGGTTTTACCGCCTGAATTCATAGTCGAAACCCAAGGCAGAGGGCTGTTAGCGACCTGGTGCCAACAACGTGAAGTGCTTAAGCACCCGTCGGTAGGAGGGTTCTTATCTCACATGGGATGGAATTCAACGATCGAGAGCATCTCCGCCGGTGTGCCCATGCTTTGTTTGCCGTTTTTCTCGGACCAACAAACGAACACCTGGTTAGCTTGCAAGGAGTTGGGTATCGGCATGGAGATGGATGAAGAGGTGAAGAGAGATCAAGTGGAGATGCTTGTTAGGGAGTTTATGGAGGGAGAAAAGGGTGTGGAAATGAAAGCAAAGGTCATCGGATTGAAGAAGAAAGCGATGGAGGCTTCCGGTCTCGACGGTTCTTCTTCCCAGAACCTGGATAAACTGTTAACCGACGTTCTTTCCACTCCCACGGTATGATATACTGTTACTATATTGCTATGTCTGAATCGTGTCCAGGACGAGTGTGGTTGTGCCTAAATTGGATAAGAGGTTGATTAGACTTAAATTTAGATCAACGCTCAAAACCAAAAGCCAACCCTTATAAATAAGCTCGTCTCCTCCATGGATATTAGGGCTTCAAATAATAAAATGGGTGAATTACTTCAAATATTATTCAACTTTAGGTTTCGTATTGTATTTACTACTGAATTTTAAATTATTTCATATTAAAGTTTGATCTTGAATTTAATATAAAACCGTGATATATTTTTTTATTCCTCTTCTCGATCTTTTATTATTAAAATTTGAAAGAAAATATTATGACGTTGATGATTCTATTATTGAATTCTAGATTTAAAAAAAAGAAGTAAATTAATTTATTTACATAAATTTATAGTAAAATTTTGAGTAAAATACATAAATGATCCTCCGACTATAAGGCGTTGTTTTATTGAGTCGCTCAACTAATAAAAATTATAAAATATCTCTCGACTATAGGATATTATTTTGTTGGGTCTCTCTAACTATTAAAAGTTATAAAATGGTCATTTAACTATTCATAAGTTTCAAACTCATCATTTTCCGTTGAAAAATTGGTTATCACTTGAGCTAAACATTGATTTGTTGAGTAATATATAATAAAATCATATTTTAATTATGTCTAATAGCACCGCCATTGCTTTAAAGCACTAAATCGATGACATAATGTTTTAAACATTGGCTCGATGACATAATGTAAATAGAGACTCGAACTATGAAATATGACTCAAACAATTCTGGGTTTAGATTTTGATCATATCCCAGTGAGCAGGTTAACGTCCAACTTAGACAACCGCCAATTTTTAACTTAAAAAAGACAAGTTTGAAACATATGAATAGTCGATGATTATTTTGTAACTTTTAATAGTTTGGAAACTCAATAACATAGTGTTTTGTAGTTAATGGACTATTTTATAACTTTCAATAGTCAGAAGATTTAACAAAACAATGATTTATAATTGGGGGATTTATTTGTGTACTTTACCATAAAATTTTAAGATTTTTGTATAAATTTAAAACAACGTTAAAGAATTAACACGGAAAGACAAAAAAATAAATTTCAAAAGTTTAAATTGAAATTTTTATAGTTAGAGGATTTAAACAGAAACACATTGTAAGTTGAGTGACTGGATTGAGAATTTACCTAAAGAACAATTCTTAGAAAAACAAGTAGGGTAAACTACATGGGAGACCACTATATTATGGTCAAAAATCAATGTGACCACCAAACTTTCAATTGAATCAATCAGACCACTCAACTATTTAATTGATTCAATCAAACCACCGACTGTTAATTTTTAACAGAGATGGTGATGTGTCCGTTAAGCTTAATTAGCATAATTATATATTTGGTCCTTAATATTTACATATTCTATCAATTTAGTCACTATTTTAATTCAAGTAAATATATTTAACTATTTAATTAGAACGTGACACATGTCAATATATGATTAGAATGTTTTACTTATGAATTTTAAATTATTTAATTAAATAATTTCATATCCAATCAGGAGGTGACTCGTGTTACCACCCAATGGAAATGAAAATTAAAGGGAAAAAGTTACACTCTAAGGGGATCAAACCAAGGTCACGCAAGGGGATAGGATAAAGCAGGCGTCCAAACCATTAGACCAAAGGTCTCCAATGGTTTAAAGTTACAACAATTTGTATTTATTTTTTTAAAAGTTTCTTAAATATAAAAAATTAAACAAATTATTTGTTTAAATAAATTATTAAAAAATTAAATAAATTATTCACGACTAATAAATTTTGGTTCGATTAACGTTTAAAGAAAAAAGTCAGTTAACTCGGTTCGGTTAATTTACCAAAATTTATTTGAAAATTATTAATCGAACCAAATTAATTAATTTGAAATTATTAGCATAACCAAATTAACTGATATTTTTTTGAAAATTATTAACCGAATTAATTGAAGCAAATATTTAGTTAATTCGGTTCGGTTAATTTGAAAATTATTAAATTAACCGAATTAACCGAATGTTTTTCCTTTAACCATTAATCGATTTGAAATTTATTTAAAAATTATTAACCGAACCAAACAAATTTAGGTTAATTGGGTCAATTTTTGAATTAATGATTTTTAAATTTTTTCTAATTTATATAAAAATTGAATATTTTTAATTAAAAAACAGTTTACAGCTAATATAAATAATAATTTGTTTAAACAAATAAATTTTTAAATTTTTTTATCATTAACAAACTTTTACAAATCAAACACAAATTGTTGTAACTATGAATCATTGGGTTTCTTTGGCCTAATGGATTTGGCGCTTGCTCTATCTCTCCCCCTCCTCCTGTGAGACCCTGGTTCAATTTTCTAGGAGCACAATTTTATCCCTTTAATTTTCACTTTCATTGGGTGGTGACATGTGTCACTATTTTATTGGATAGAAAAATTATTTAATTTAATAATTTAAAATTCATAAATTAAACATTTCAATCATATATTGACACGTGTAACGTTCTAATTGGATAATTAAATTTATTTAATTGAATTAAAATAGCGACTAAATTAATAAAATATGTAAATATTAAGAACCAAATATATAATTATACCAATTAAGTTTAACGGGCACGTCACCACCTCTTTTAAAAATTAATGGCCGGTTTTTTGATTGATTAAATTAAATAGTTAGGTAGTCTTATTGATTCAATTGAAAGTTTGGTAGTCAAATTGATATTTTAGCATAGTTTAGTGGTCTCCCATGTAGTTTACCCAAAACAAAGTAATTAAGGTAATTTCCCCTTCTCCAACACACCTCCTCTCCGATCTCTCAATCCCTCTGAAGAGTCTCATTTTCTTTCCATCCAAACATCGCCCAATCCCCATGGCCGCTAATTCCCCACGCGAAGAAAATGTCTACAAGGCGAAACTCGCCGAGCAAGCCGAGCGCTACGAGGAGATGGTCAAGTTCATGGAAGCTGTCGTCTCCTCCGTCGTCGCTCCCGATGAACTCACCGTCGAGGAGCGGAATCTCCTCTCTGTCGCCTACAAGAATGTGATCGGCGCCCGCCGTGCATCCTGGAGGATCGTTTCCTCCATCGAGCAGAAAGAGGAAGGACGTGGGAACTCCGACCATGTTTCCATCATCCGCGAGTACAGAGCCAAGATTGAGGCCGAGCTTTCGGAGATTTGTGCCGGAATTTTGAAGCTTCTCGATGAGAAGCTCGTTCCGGCAACCGGAAGCGGCGATTCTAAGGTCTTCTATCTGAAGATGAAGGGAGATTACCATAGGTACTTGGCTGAGTTCAGGACTGGCGATTACAGGAAAGCTGCTGCGGAGAATACGCTCTCTGCGTATAAATCTGCTCAGGTTTGTGCTCATTTTTGTAATTTTGTGCATTTCTTTTCCTTGATTTGATGTAATTTTAGGGTTTGATTTATTTTAAATGTGATTAATACTTTTCGTAAATTTTAGTGTTCGTGTTGTTTATTTCTTTCTGCTAATATCTGGATCTGCTTCGAACTGCTTTGATTGATTACTAAACATGAGCATTAGAAATAGGATTGAATCACAGTAGAAATATATGAAAATTGTCAAGAAGATAATGGTCTCAACACTATGGGTTTTGTATTAATATTTTATTTTTTTTCAACATTTCTGTGATATAAGAAAGCAGCTGAATTTCCTGTTGGCGAAAAGTAAAATTTTGTTTGTAAATGAAATTCTGAACCACAATCACCCCTCCTAGCCTCCTCACCGCATAAACTTCAAATTTTCTTCGGTGATTTGTATTAATCCAATTCGAACAAAGTAATATTCATTGGTTCAGTTTAATTATCCTTTTCTATTCTTGTCATGCATTGCCTGGGTTTTGTTTGTATTGTTTTTTTCTTGCTTTCATATATTTACATTGCGCTTTCATATATTTACATTGGAGTTTCTGGTCTGTTATTGCTGTTATATGCATCCTTTTCTTTTCAGGACATTGCAACTTCTGAGCTCGCCCCAACTCATCCTATTCGTTTAGGATTGGCTCTGAACTTTTCCGTGTTCTACTACGAGATCTTGAATTCTCCTGATCGTGCTTGCAGTCTTGCGAAACAGGTAGGATGACAAAGGTTCAGAATTTTAGTTTAGTCGCAATAGTCATCTTGTTTATCTAAAACATTGGGGAGGTTTGTAGTTATAAATTTTATCATCTTTGTTAGTTGCATTCTTCATTTTCCCAAAAGTACCTGTGTCCGACATGTTCAGATATATGAATGACCTATGAGAGTATGGTTCTGCAAATAAATGGAAAAAACTTGGATATCCGTGGTGGAAACTCACCCATATATAATGATTATCAGAGTCCGAGTAATATAGAGCATTACTAATCCTTCTTTGCTATTCGTCTGGAGTTTCATCAAATTTGTCTTTAAATTCTATTTGGCCAACATGCTTTCTTTCTTTGCCTCAGGCTTTTGATGAAGCCATCGCAGAGATGGATACTCTTGGAGAGGATTCATACAAGGACAGCACTTTGATAATGCAACTTCTTCGTGATAACCTCACTTTGTGGACCTCAGACATGCAGGTTTGAACAACCCCGAACGTACACGCATTCATTTTCTATTTCGAATTAAGTGCTGCGATCAGTTTGTGTTTTTTATGGTGAATATTTACTAAATATTACTTGTTTTTATCGATTTAGGAGAATGGAACAGACGAAACCAAAGAAGCGTCTAAACCCGAGGATGAAAAGCAACAGTGAAATCTGTAATCTTGGAGTTAGTATCTTACTTCGCTGGTTGTTTTTGTATGGAGAAGTTGATTGGTCCATCTGTCCCTCAAGTTTACTTGCCTCTTATAAAACCTTTGAAAATACTGCTGAAAATTCATTGGCATTTCACTACTAATTTGTCTTTAGTTGAATTTTGGTATTCCTTGCATCGATCGCTAATTTTATCAACCAAAATACTAAAATTTAATAACGTGAATTTGGACTGATAATTTTATCCATAATATTAAAGAAGAATGACATATATCAACCAAATTAAAGTATAATATTAATATATCTTTTTTGGTAAAGAAGGTATGATTAATTCAGAAATCATATACAGGAAGGGTTATATATGTCTCATTAAAAAAAATTCTAACCTAATCAGAGGTAAATGGTACACACATACCGCTTAAAGAAATGAAACAAACAACCAGAAAGATAAATCAACAATCAAACCAAGACACCTTGTACTATTGCACCCGACTCATCGTAATCAGGGCCGTGGTTGAGGCGGTGCAAACTGTGTGATCGCGCAGGGCCCCAAAAAATAGACCCCAAAAAGTATATATATAATGTCGTTTTTCCAATAAACGCCACTATAGATGAATCTATTATGATGTTTTAAAAAAACGCCACTATTATTGTGGCTTTATTGATAAAAGCATTATAGATGGATCTATCGAGGCGTTTGTCAAAAAAACGCCACTATTGTTGCCCCGAAATCGAATATATCTAGAAAATAGGGGACCCTTTATAAGAATTTATACAGACCCCCGAAAACCCAACCACGGCCCTGATCGTAATAAAGTAAGGACTCCACCGGTAGGCGGAAGCTCCAAATAGTGCACCTCAAAATCCTCCCCGGTAGACATTTTAGTAACAAAATCGGACACTTGGCTACCTTTCCGAGAGACATGCATGAAATGAACCAGCCAATTCCTTTGTATGAGATCATCGATGTGAAGAAGGATGGACAGCGTCCCTTGACGGAGGCGTGGGGCTTGCAAAAGTCGGTATGCTTGGTGACAGTCAGTTTTGTTAGGAAAATAAACCGAGTACAAGTAATTTCCCTATAACCAGATTAGTGAGAATGCAAAATAAAAGCGGAAAAATAATACATGAAATTGATAACGAAGTTCAACCAATTGTGTTTACGTCTCCGGACTGCTGCAGATCTTTTACTAAGAGAGAAAATTTACAGGTGTTTACAAAATACTCACTACTCACAAGAAAACTCTCTAGTATTGGGAGAAAGAAATTATTTTTGGGATGATTTTGAAGCTAAATGGGTAAGGGTATTTATAGTATAAACTTAGGGACTAATCTTTGAAAATACCCTAAAGTGCAATGACTAAAGTGAATTTACCCATTCCTATTTTCAACAAACATCTACCAAAATTTTACCAAACTTTGAAAAACATTTTTTAAAGAAACATTTTCCAAAGTTGGTTGCCAAAGTTTGAAACTTTTAACAATCTCCCACTTGAAGACTGATTTTAATATGTCTTCACACCTCGATCAATGCAGCAGCATGTCTGGTCTTGTTATTCTAGCATGCCAACTGAAGCTGAACACAACTTCAGTTTGTCCGTAGTCACCGTCTTTGTCAACATGTCTGCTGGATTTTGAGCTCCACTAATCTTTTCAAGTTTCAAAATCCCATCTTCCAGAAGAGACCGGATAAAATAACATCTCAATTGTATGTGCTTTGTCCTGGAATGAAAAGACGGATTCTTTGCTAGATAGATAGCACTTTGACTGTCGCAATACAAGATATTGTTTTCTTGTTTCTTGCCTAACTCTTCCAAGAAACTTTGGAGCCAAACCATCTCCTTGCTGGCTTCCGTAACAGCGACATATTCTGCTTCAGTTGTGGAGAGAGCAACTATCTTCTGTAGTTGAGAAACCCAACTCACTGCAGTTCCTCCTAGAGTATAGACATACCCTGTAGTGCTCATTCTGATGTCGACATTTCCGGCTAAGTCAGCATCTACATAGCCTGTCAGTATCATATCTCCACATTTGAAACAAAGTGCTTTGTTTGTGGTACCTCAAAGATATCTGAGGATCCATTTGACTGCTTCCCAGTGTACCTTGCCCGGATTATTCATGTACCTGCTAACAACTCCCACTGCATGAGCAATATCTGGACTGGTACAAACCATGGCATACATCAGACTTCCAATTGTTGAGGCATACGGCACCTTCACCATGTGTGCACGTTCTTCCTCCGTCTTTGGTGATTGGTCTTTGGAGAGTCTGAAATGAACACCTAAAGGTGTACTTACTGGTTTAGCATCTTGCATGTTGAACCTGAAGAGTACTTTGTTGATGTACTCAGCCTGTGATAACATCAAAGTCCCCGACTTTGTGTCTCTCTTGATCATCATCCCAAGAATCTGCTTTGCAGCGCCCAGATCCTTCATAGCAAACTACTTCGACAATTTTTGCTTCAAGTTTATGATCTCTTGCATGTTTGAGCCTGCAACGAGCATGTCATCAACGTACAACAATAAAATAATGAAACTATTATCGAACCTCTTGATGTAGCAACAATGATATGCTTGGCATCTGGTAAAACCACTGCTACTCATGAAACTATCAAAGTTCTTGTACCACTGTCTAGGAGCTTGTTTTAAACCATACAAGCTCTTCTTCAACCTGCATACCAGGTTTTTCTTGCCTGCCTCTATGAAGCCTTCTGGTTGCCTCATATAGATCTCTTCCTCCAAATCACCATGAAAGAAAGATGTCTTTACATCTAACTGCTCAAGATGTAAATTCCCCGCACCTACTTTTTGCTGAAAACCTTTGACAACCAATCTTGCTTTGTAGCGTTTTCTCCCATCATGTTCTTCTTTGATCCTGTAAATCCACTTGTTATGGAGCGCTTTCTTGCCTGGTGGTAATTCAGCTAATTCCCACGTCTGATTTGACATAAGCGAGTCCATCTCATCTTTCATGGAAGACTCCCACTTGACTGAATCCTCCACCTGCATTGTTTCATCATAGCACTCTGGTTCACCATTGTCAGTCAGCAACAAATAGTGCAAAGAAGGCGATTACCGTTGGGTTGGTTTAGGAATTCTGGAGGAGCGTCTCAGTTCTGGTGTGTGTGGTTCTTCTTGAACTGCTTCAGGATTGATCTGAACATCATTTCCAGAAATCTCCTCGAACTCAGCAAATTCCTTTGTTTCAGCTTCGGTATTACTTGATTCTGCGGTTGACCTATCTTTGTACATCACATTTTCATTGAAAATGACGTCTCTGCTTCTGATGATCTTTCGATTTTCGTAGTCCCAAAACCGGTAACCGAACTCATCACCACCGTAACCAACAAAGACGCATTTGTTGGACTTGGCATCAAGTTTACTTCTTTCAGCAGAGTTTATGTGTACATAAGAAATACAACCAAACACTCTTAAGTGTGAAAGGTTTATTTCTTTCTTGCTCCAAGCTTCCTCTGGTATTCCGCCATCCAAAGGAACTGAGGGCCCACGGTTGATCAGGTAAGCTGCAGTGTTGATAGCTTCAGCCTATAGAAATTTGGGCAATCCGACATGTATCCTCATGCTTCTGGCACGTTCATTCAGAGTTCTGTTCATGCGCTCTGCTACGCCATTCTGCTGCGGTGTTATGGGAACTGTTGTCTCCATCTTGATCCCATTGTTTGCGCAGAAATCGCTAAAACTACTGTCTCTGTACTCTCCTCCATTGTCAGACCTCAACCGCTTGACTTTCAAACCAGTCTCATTTTCCACCATGGCCTTCTATTTTCTGAAGGTATCAAAGATTTCTGATTTCTTCTTCAGAAAATAAACCCACACCTTCCTTGTTAAATCATCGATGAAGGTGACATAATATAGTGAGCCTGCAAGAGATGGAACAGGGGATGGTCCCCATACATCAGTATGAACCAATTCTAACCTTTCTGCATTGGGAGTCTTGCCAATCTTTGTAAAACTGACTTTCTTTTGTTTTCCAAAGATGCAATCCTCGCATAGTCCGACATCTACATTCTTTAGATCCGGCAGCTTCCCTTTTGACAGAAGTATTTTCATTCCTTTCTCGCTCATATGGCTGAGCCTTTGGTGCCATAGGTTTGATTTTCCATCAGCATCTGCTACTGCAATGATATTCTCTAAATTTGAGGTTACATAGAGAGTACCGGTCTTCTTACCACGAGCAATGACGAGTGCTCCTTTGGTAATCTTCCATTCACAACCTGAAAAAGTTGTACTATATCCTTCTCCATCAAGCTGTCCAACAGAAATCAGATTTCTTTTGAGGCCAAGAATATGTCTCACTCCTGTCAGCTTCCAGGTGGTCTGGTTTGGCAGCTTTAGTCGGATGTCTCCTTTTCCGACGATCTTCAAGGTTTCATCATCAGCTAGATGAACCTTCCCAAAATCACCACTGACATAGTTCTCCATGATTTCTCGGCATGGGGTGGAGTGGAAAGATGCCCCTAAATCCAAGATCCATGATTCAATCGGACTGTTGACGCTTAAAATCATGGCATCACCTGTCTCCTCCGTCATGTTGGCAGATTCCTGTGCGCCGGTATTTTTCTTCGGTGCTCGGCAATCTCTTTTGAAGTGACCCTTCTTACCGCAATTATAACAGGTAAAATCTTTATTTCATGTTCTTGATTTGCCCCTTCTGGATTTTGATCTGCCACGATTTGAATTTCTTTCTGAAGTTCTCCCTCTAGACTCCGTGTGCAAGGCTAAGGAGGTTGATGCTTCACCCGATTCTCTTCGTCGAATTTCTTCACTCAATACCAGATCCCGAACATCGTCAAATTTTAATTTGCTGTTTCCCGACGAACTGCTGACTGCTGTAACAGTAGCATTCCAACTGTCTGGTAGAGATGATAAGAGAATTAAAGCTCGAACTTCATCATTGAACTCGATTTCCACTGAACTCAACTGGGTTGTGATTGTGTTGAGTTCAGTTAGGTGTTGTGCCACCGATGCCCCTTCCGCCATCCGCAAATTGAATAATCGCCTCATCAAATGAACTTTGTTTGAGGCCGATGGCTTCTTGTACATACTGGAGAGAGCCACCATAAGACCCGCCGTGGTCTTTTCCTTTGCTATGTTAAAAGCAACATTGCGGGATAACGTTAGTCGGATAACTCCGAGGGCTT